CTAAGTCATTTAATTTCAGGAAAATGCATTTATCATCTCATCATATATTGTTTTGATTCCACGACCTTTCTGGGAAGTTTACTCACTCTTATTATTAAGATTTTTTATTTTTTATTATTTATTATTATTATTATTTTTAAATTCTTATTATTAAGATGATAAGAAACCAAAGGAAACATAACACTTTTTACATGCAAATGATTTGTTCAATTACATGAATGAAATCATGACCAAAAAAAAAAAAAAAACCAATATTAAAAGTAAATAAAAAAAAAAGAGTCATGGATTAAGCAAATATAACTGAGTATTCTTGGGGCCTCAACTATTGTTTACATGTGCTATATCATGTTGTCCAAGCAGTGTTGAAAGATAAATTTTAAACAATTGAGTTTCTCGATCTGCTGTTAGCTTTGCGTTTGAAGAAATGAGAAGGCTTGCTTGACATGGAGAGAGAAGAGAAAAAAAAAAAAAAAAATTTGTTTGAAGAATAATCTGTTAAGGAGTAATTTCGTCAAAAAAATTTAATCATACAACCACTTAAACAGACATCAGTTAAAAACATTCCCTTGGGATAGTTAAGGGGGATTTTTTGTTAAAAATATTTATAAGGGGGTTTTTAGGTGTTTTTTTTTTTTTTTTTTTTTTTTTTTTTTTTTTTAGCATTTCGCCCTACTTTTTATAATTAAATTATTTTGTTTTGAAACATTTCTATTGCTAATTTTACAATAATATCATTTAATAGAATGTTATTATATTTGATAATAGCATCTTTATTAATGAATGAGTACTGTAATTGTCTTTATTAAAAATAAAAATAACATAATTGATTAATTAAAACAGGTAACCTAAAATATTCGGCCTCTAATGAATTAAGTATGTTTGTTTAATAATCACTTTTCTTCCTTTATGAGATGTAAAGTTAGTAATTGAATTTTTTTCTCCTTGCACAATAACTATTGTATGCAAGTTTTGTATATATTTGTTAAATACTACGTGCATATATATAACCAGTCTAATAAATATATACTTAATAATTAATAATTAATAGAGTAGGTGAGAACCTCAAGATAGAGGAGGAAAAAAAATAAATAAATAAAAATTAAAAGTTAATTCTTTTGGCCTACTATTAAATCAGTTCTATTGGTTTAGGTTTAATAAGAAATTAAAATTTTTGTGGCCTGTGCTATTGGTTGAGGTTTTAAAAGGAAATAAAGATAAGGAAATAAAAATTTTGGGTATAATACTTTAAATAAAAATAAAATAGATAAGGAAATAAAAAATTTGGGTATAATAATTTAAATAAAAATAAAATTTTAAAAAGGTAATAATATAAAAAAGTAAATAAAATTTTGAAGGCTCTCCGCCCGTTGGTTAAGAAGAAAATAAAAATTTTAAGAAAGTAGAAATACATAAGGAAATAAATATTTTTAGGCGATCGCCTGAGACTCCAGAGACTTCTATATAGTTGTAACGAGTCCTCTCATAAGGGATGCAATTATATCTACCACCACCAACACTACACTACCACCTGCCTTTGATTGAAATGGATTCCGATGGTAAACCCTCCACCTTTTACCGTTCGAAAAAAAAAAAACCGTCCACCGCCACCGCCACCGCCACCGCCACCACCAACTCTTCTACCACCATTGACATGGATTGGGATGAGAAGCAACCCATACTCCCCTCGGCCACCACCACCGACTCTACCGCCGCCCACATGGATCCCGATCGGAAACCTGACCCAGGTTGTTATTGGGGATTTCTTTCTGCATTGTTTATTGGAGCGATGATCTTTACGGCCACATACACCATCGCGTGCGAGAATCACCAGAAGCATCTCATGGTTCCACCGGAGCAGCCTGACCTCGGATTCAGCCTAGAATCAGTCTCCGTCTCCATCTTAAACCTCTCCGCATCTGATCAACTATTTTCTTCCCAATGGAACATCACTCTCTCTCTTACAAACCCTAACACTGACACCAACTGGCTGTACGTGGACAATAACATCGACCTCTCGGTTCATTATAAGCAATTGCTTCTCTCTGCCACTACCCTACCGCCTTTCTATCAAGGAACGAAGGACCAGCGGTTGATGATGGCAACTTTTGCTTCGCCACCTGTCACTGTCGGTGCCGTCGATAGCCGGGCTGGAAACGCCGTCGCCAACGACATGATCAATAATGCATTGCTTCATGGAGCCATGAATTTTGATGTTAAGGTACGGAGCAGGATCCAGTTATATGACCCCAAAGAGGACTGGTCTGCTTTCTATTGGATGACAGCGACTTGTAAGGATGTGAAGATTGAGTTTGTGAAGATTGAGTTTGCGATGGCTATCACAGATTTAAATGGCACATTGCTAGGCAGGGTGAGAAATTGCAGTGTTGCTGTCCAAAAAATGATTTGAGAGAGTTTGATATGATCAGTTGGTTCTTTAAATTAATTAATTTATTTATTTTTACTTGTCTTGTCTAGCATTAGTGCCTAACTGTCTCGTTTGGAAATCATTTTGTTATTGAGTGGTTAACAAGTGTTGATATACCTTCTCTTATTAATGTGCTTTTTATAAAGAAGTAACTAGTGTTGATACGGTGATTGAGAAAATAAAAAACAATGTGTTTTGTGCTGTATATAACGAAATTTGTGATTTGCCATTTCATTGCTTTAATGTTTGCAATTACATATACTTCATTATATATGCTGTATTGCTTAAATTTGATGTTTTACATAGTCAAAAATTTATGCAACAATAGAGAGCCATTGGGAGGGGATGCAGCCTTACCAGCATTGCCTCCATGTTTAATTTTGGTGACCTTGTGGTCACAAAGCAGTAATCTTACTATTCCATAGAGGCTCACCCTCGTGTCAATACTAATCCATCATGTCTTAGACCATCTAAAGACGGGAGAGGATGGTCCGAAGAACTGCTTTAATATTAAAAAAAGAAAGAAAGAAAGAGTTACAATAATTTTGAGGACTTCTGTAACAGCTATGTAACTGATTTTGGATCTTTAAGTCTTGTAGGCCTTTGGGCCGAGTTTGGGCCTTTGGTTGTTTAGCTTTCGGCTAACTATCCATTGGGCTATGTACGGACACTTATCCTCACAAACAAGGGTTGAATAAGGAACATAACCCACTAAAGAAGTGGGCTCAATAGAGTCAACCCAATCAGTCAATGGTTTAATATTTGCACCTTGGCCCAATCCCACTATTGGAATGGAGATAAAACTCAAGAATATGCCAATAGGGAGAACCAAAAAGCCAATGTCCAGGGGCCAGCAAACCCATACTAGAACCTTCTAGTAGTATGTGGTCCAAAAAGTAAGCGTATATGATACACCAGTCATGCAACGTAAGCAGCACCAGTGATGACGTCGTTGCAACCTGCCTGTACAGTATCCCGAAGCATTTGTGTTCATGGTGAACCGAATCCGGCGAGCGTGATAAAAAAGATAGCAAATCGGCCCGGTGACCATGCTGAGTCCACTTGTCCGAGATACAAGGAGACCAAGAGATAGTAGACTTTCGTATGGATAGCAAAAGAGGAAAACAAACAGAGAACACAAATAGCACAACAGCAGACATAGAATATTAGATTCAAAAAAGAACCAAGAGAAATGGTAGAAATACCTGGATCGAACGAAAATATCGTCAAACAAATGACATTAAGTGTGCCACCGTTCCAAATTGCCCATGAGACGAGCAAAATCACACAAGAACCTATCCATCCAGACAAATAATATGAGGTTCTTTCGGAATTGTGGATGACAGCCATCCCCTAAAACACACTTTTGGAAAGAATTCAAAACTCTGATGAACAGAGAACCTCTACGAGGAATAGACAACTCTGATAAATAGAGAGTAGTTTACTTGATCAAATTTTGAAGAAAGGTTGGAAGGTCAAATTTGATTTTCTCTCTCTATACACACACACACACACACAAATCGCTTCAAATCTGCCTCTTGCAATTTCCATATATTGGATAATTGACCAACCAGTGGACGGTTAAAAAAAATGGTGAATTCATTTTCTTTCTTTTTTGTAACTTATATATCGTTAATTCAGATCATGTTCTTCAAAAGAAATTGGTGTATAGCACGGATATCAAACAAAAATTATACATAGGATCAAAGAACCATTTCATTTTCTTGTTTGTTTGAGGTAATGACAATGAAACTATACTAATCAGACCGAAGGGCTGATTAAGATAAGTCTAAATTCGTTTTCAAGTTTAGCCACGGGAATCTGGATTGCAATCGTCTTGCAAATAGTGATCAATTTTTGATTAGTTATCACCATTTAGAATCATTCCTTCTTTAGTCTCTCCTAGGCTGATTCAGATGCCGAGACAATTTTGGTGAGTGATTATTTTTACGAATTTAAAAACCAATCCTTTCAAGAAAAAAGTTTAATAAAGAAAGTTATTTCAATAATTTAAAATTTGGAAGTTCTCGATTGAGAATTTTAGAGCTCAAACTTTATCATGTTGCGAGAAGGTAAAATGAATATGAAGTGTGTTTAGACTAAGACGAGGAGGGTGGAACAAATAAGGTCGGTGGACGAGTCATCCACAGGGTGTCTAACAAAAACCCATTCGATGGACTTTGTCTAATTTTCGTCTCTAAAGGTAGGTGGTAAGAAAAAAATATGTTTTCTACAACTATTATAATATATCAAGATCAAATACAATAATGAACAGCAAAGATAACTAATTTGCAGCCAATCGCACTAGCAAATCTAAAAGAGTCTTTTCATTAAGAAAAGGTGTCCATCACAACTTGATCGAATTGGATGAATCGCATTGGTTCTTGCTCTATGGGAAAACCAAACCAATCCGGCAGAGGATTATTTGATGTGTAAGATAATATAATGCTATGAGAATAGCATTTCAAATATCAAAGACGAAGGCTAAACATGGTGGACATTCTCATAAATAAAAAAAAGTCTAAAACAACATTAACATTAAGATACGAAATTAATCACAACTCATCACAACATATTAAGAAACCAAATCTCTTCTTTAGTTGTAGAAATAAAATTAAGTAATCTTAATACCGTCAAAATAATTTGCTGATAAAATCCAAAATGGTACCACATTAGCAGGAAAGCAACACATTCAAGACATACTAATTTGACAAGTCTAAAGCTCAACAAAACTTGTTGCAAGAACAGAAAACATGGAGAACCAGACTATCTCTTCTTGGAAACACCAACAGTCTTTCCCCTGCGGCCAGTGGTTTTTGTGTGCTGCCCACGAACACGAAGACCCCAGTAGTGACGTAGACCACGGTGATTCCTGCAACAAAGTCAAATAATAAGGAACAAAGAGAGAGAAAGAAAAAGAAAAAAGTTTCAGCAAGCAAACAATCACATGTAACACTACAGATTCAACAGCAAGACTCCAATATAATGATACCCACGATGGGTTTGGAGATCACACAAATGACCCAGCATTCCATCTAATTATATATTAGAAACTGTGTTCCAAGTAAATACAAAAAAAATGAAGAGAACCTGATCTTCTTCAACCGCTCAAGGTCATCCCTTAGCTTCATGTCCAGAGCATTGGATGTGACCTGAGAATACTTCCCATCCTTGTAATCCTTCTTCCTGTTCAGGAACCAATCAGGGATTTTGAATTGGCGAGGATTTGCAACAATTGTCATTAAGCTATCAATCTCTGCAGCTGATAGTTCACCAGCCCTACAAGAATGAATCCAAACAAATTAGAAATCCAATAAACTAAAGTATGACGAACAGATAAAGAATCCAGACTGATACAACGAATAGCTTGATTCTTCAGAGTATCAAATGTAGTAGATATCAAGATTTGTTGAGGATAAAATTAGAAAACTTAAAAGTGCATTATATCAAAATAACACCATTTCAGAAAACATACAAACTCGGAAAATTCAGAACTAAATAACCACTAGGAAGTATGAATCTAGATGGCCCAAAAGGAATGGAGCTCCATTGCACTGTACATAGCATTAGAAGGTGAAAGCATACCATGATATGTGAGAAATTGCCAAAAAAGTTGAGCCTCTAATAAAATTCAGCGAACAATTTAAGTATCATCTCTAGGGCTACTTTCATCACATTATAATAGGCATTTTCTGTTGATGTAAAGAACAGGACCAAAAAAGATAACCGTCCATTCCATTATAAGGCATTTTCTTTCCTTTAAACCAAATTGAACGAGCGCCCAAAACCAGGTATTCAGGTTTTCATGTAGTTAAGAAAAAAAAGGACTAGTGTTCAACTTCACCAAATTTAACTTCATTTCTGTCCCATAATCTATTTTGCTAGCAATTACTTCTTCATTAATTAATAAACATTTCAACAACGCAGAGGCTAAACTGCTGAACTTAAACCAAACTATCCATACAAAAAAAAAAAAAAAAACATAATAGAACACAGCAACAATATAATCCACACCAATGAATCCAAAATAAACAACCATAAGAGCACAAGTTCAAATAAGGACCCAACAATGAGAGAACCTAGAACTACCACCCAAACAGAATTATTAGTTTATTCATACATTAAGGAAGGCCCAAAACCATGTTTGGGTGTGGTTACAAAGATCAAGAACTAGTGTTCATACCTTCACCAAATTTAACTTCATTTCTGTCCCATATCCTATTTTGCAACCAATTACTACTTCGCTAATTAAAAAATGAAAAATTATACATACAAAAACCATAAATTAACACAAAAAACAATAGTCAGAAGCAACAAATTTTAATAAACAAACATAACAGCATCAGATCAATTTAGAAGGACCAAGGAGTGAGAAAACCTAGAAACTACCAACCAAATAGAATTGTTAATTATTTATTTTTTGGGCTAAAGATCAAAGACAGAAAAGCTACTAAAACAACATCTACAAAAAAATCATAGCTGATTGCATCACAATATACTGTTATCGCAGTTATCGCATCACAACATAGAGTTATCGGATCTGCAACAAAGAGTATAGAAACCCTAGAACAGAATCGAACTTGGAAAATTGAAAAGGAGAATAATAATAGGGTAAAAAAATAAAAAGGAATACCTCTTGTTCATATCGATGTCGGCTTTCTTACAGACGATGTTGGCGAAACGTCGACCGATACCCTTGATGGAGGTCATTGCGAACATGATTTTCTGTTTCCCATCAACATTCGTGTTCTGAACACGAAGAATGTGTTGAAAATCCTCATTTGCAACAAGCGACTGCAAATATCAAACAAGGAAAAGTTAGATCAATACAAAAAATAGTTGTGTATGTGTGCATATACATATACATATGTAGGTATATAGACAGAGGAGAGAGAAGACGATTACAAAGGTGGAAAGAATAGAGAAAGGTTGGATTGGCTCACCATCGCTACGATCTTAGACCTAACTCCGGAGATGCTCTCTCGTTCAGTGCGATGGTTGTGACTGCGGCGTAACAGAAGAAGCTACAAACCCTAGACTTCAATCTTCGCTGTGAGAAACGTTAGCTTATTATATATAGTAGCTTATGGGCAAAATGGTAAATTTAGATATTCCAGCATGGTAGCCGCTTATATAAATGTTTGCACTCCACTATGTATTTTCAGACTTCAACTAAATATAGGATAATAAAAGAATTTTTACTTTTTTATATAAAATGTATTATTATTATATATATATATATATATTGGTGTGGCAAAACGTAAAATATCTTGCTCAAAAAATATATATATATTTTTTTTATATTTGACAAAGATTTAGGTCAAGTTCATCGAGTGAGATACGTAAAATAGTTTGTCAAAAATTAATGGACTAAAAATTAATCGGGTGAGACACGTAAAATAGTAAATATTTTAAGACAATCATAAAAATACAAAAAATATTTTTCCAAAAATATTTTAGCTCAAACAAAGGGAGCTCAAATGTAAAACATTTTTCATAGAAATAATGGACCCTTGTTGTTGTGACGAGAATATGAAGGAAATAATAAAAATAAAAGAGTTCTTCAATTAAATTATGATTTCGTTCAAAGGCAACCCATTTTGGGAGAAATTTTAAAAACCTTATTTAAGTACGTTGAAATCATTTTATAATTATTTCTGTTTTTACAACGAAATTATTATTATTATTATTATTATTATTATTTTTTGGTCATTTTCCAACTTTTCCTATTCTAAAATAACACCTTTCCCTTATCTTTTTAAATAAATGAATATTGTAATAAAAAGTTAAAAATTGTTTCCAAAATTTTTTTAAAATGTGCTTTAAAAACTAAACCAAACAAATAATGATTATTCATTAATCAAGATACCATATAATCGAATGGGATGCTCAATATATTTTTTTAATAGAACACTACAATGTAGCGACTCTGTTTGTTTGAACTTTCAATTAAAAAATAAGATATAATACAAATTATAAAAATAAGCAACCAAATACAAGCTTTTAATATTAGTTATCAGTTGCATAAACACAAGTTTTTTATTTTTATTTTTTAAAGATTGTGTAATATCAACCAAGTAGCAACATGATTTTTTTTTTTTTTTTTTTTTAACTAATCTATTTTGAAATTTTTTTTACATTAAAACAAAGACTCTAAGAATTAGCTCTAACGTTACAACTCTCAGTATTCCAAAAGAAAAACAACTTGATATCTAAAAGTTGAATAGTGACAGAGAGGCCAAAAAAACATTCCAATGGATAAGCACAAATGAAATCCATATTTTTAATAGTGTGTTTATAAAGTATGGGGAGAGAAAAAGGGGAGAGAGAGAATTGCATTGTATTTGAAATGATAGTGAAGAAAAAATAAAATTTTACTTGTTATAAAAATTCATCCCTAACTTTTACGTCATTTACTCTTCCCAAACATGACAGAATTTGGCAGCCACAGGTTCAGTCATCAATGTTTGCTTAGCCCAAATTCCCTATCTGCATCCAAACACCAAGGTTGAGGGATCGAGACTCCAGTAAAATAAATATGTATGCCTGGGGTATAAAAAAAGGGGTACTTTGGAGTTTGCATGATAAATGTATGTGTATGTGTGTGTGTATATAAAATATATATATATATATGTTATATATTATGTTAGGTGTGGTTGTAGCTTCTAATAAAATGTCTCTTCATGAATGTTGTAAAAACAATATAAACATATATCCTATGAATATAACAAAAGACAATTCAAGTTGGGAAGAGGTTTTCCAGATTTGAGTATATACGTCATCAAAAACAGAATCTTCCTTCATGTAGAGACTAAAAACAATCCTACATATAAAAGTGCCCAAAAAAACATACACACCGCTGAAAACATGATAGATTTTGGCAAGAATACCTGGGAAAGGAGAAACATAAAAGAAAATTTGTGCCAAACATCAGATTGCATAAGAAAGTATTAACTAATTGCACAAGCTTACCTATCTTTTTTCTTCTCAAATAAGCAGTTTCAATCTAATTTTGGCATGCATTGGGAAGAGGATTGAAAAAAGAAGTGCAACTAGCAACCAAAAAAAGCACCAACACAAAATATTTACCAGATTTACTAAAAGGAAACCATCTTCCATCGATTAAACTACCATTGGTTGCATTTACAATGAGCATAAGCATGTGGCCGAGTCAAGAGTGAGCATCTGCATACAATTATCACATGCATCTAGCTTTAACCCCCCTTAAAGTAACACACTACTAAACTCTACCAGGATCGTAGCAAAAGGGTGGGATGTTCTGTTCACCCCGCCAAGAAGCTCCTTTGCATTTTTCTTGGCTTCAACCGGAAACTAAGATTCCTACTGCAAATGGACAAAAGAAAAACAAAAGTTAGCAGATAAATTAGGAAGATGAGAGAGAGAGAGAGAGAGAGAGCCGGTGCAAGAGAAACAACTACATGAAGGAAATTACTACATATAAATCACGGAACAATCATTGAATGACAATCTTTTGATTACCAAAGCACATAGAATACTTACTCTCAAGTCAACAAACCCTTATCTCAACTCCTTAGTGCAGCTACATGAATACTTTTTCACCATTTTTGATCAATCTAAAATTGTTACCTCAATCAAATCACATAATATATTTCCTCACTATCTTAATTCGGGAAAAAATAAAAAATAAAAAATCAACACTAATACAGCAATAAATTCCCTTCAAGATTTTCACAAATGAGGAAATACTATGGTGTTTCCTTAAAGCAACACATTTCATCATCTCCCGTATCCAACAAAACAAGGAAAGGTTGCAATGCTATTCTAGACGAGCTTAGTGGTTTAAAGAATACAGTGGAAGAAATTAGTCTTAAAAGTAGCATACGTAAAATAAAAGAAGATTGACTTAAGGGATTGAAAATGGAACGCATGAAGAAGAATAAAGATCCTTGTATGGTTTTCTATAAATCTGGAAAAAAGTTAATGTTTTGTCCCTAGACATATCATATAGTAGGTTTTAGAATATAAAAGAACCATAAACAGATGTATTGACATGATTAAGGATATATAAACTAGTGCTTTGACCATTACAAAGATAATTGTACAAATTATTCTATGTAACTAAAAAGACTATCAAGTGATAGTGAAAAAAATATTCTAATACCTATATATAAAAAGGAAGGGATTATCTAAAGTAGTACAAATTACCAGGATATTAAAATAATAGTCATAAATTAAGAACTTTATGAGAGAGTTATTGAATAACAACAAAGACACAAGCGTTAGAAAAATCAAATTGGTCCACAATTATAAACATTTGCTTACTGAGAAGACTACTGGAAGGGAGTACAAAGAAGAGGAAGAAAGATCATCATATTACTTTCTGTGTAGCTGGGAAAAGGTTGCAATGTTGTCCCTAGACTTATTATATGGTGGGTTTTAGAATAGAAAAGAATAATAAATAGATATATTGACATGAAAAAGGATTTTCATATAAATGCACATAAGTGTAGGATAAACAATTGAATTTCTGGTCACCGTAAACTTATAACAAGAACAACACTAAGCCCCTATATTTTTACCTAAATTATGCATGAATTGACAAAACACATACAAGAGAGGTTCAATAATATGTCAATTGCAGATGATATTGTTCTAAAAATAGATAAGAGATGAGTGTTAAAATAGAGATCTTGCAAAGCTCTATGATCAAAAGGGCTAATAATAAGGACAAGAAATTTGAATATATGGCATGTACCATAGAGAAACTAGGAATACAAGTGGAGATGTAGAGAATATCAAGGGTCAAGGATACCAAAAGGTGAACAAATTTCATTATTAGATTTAATTATTCATAGGAGATTGAAAATGATATTAAATTTAAGAATGATAGGATAAATTAATGAGTGCTTCTGGTTCTAGCATCCTGTTTGATCAACGTATACCTCTAATGGACATTAGACCAATTATGCTTTTGGGAAAAACAAGATCGGTCAAGAAACATGTTCTTAACTTCTGGCTGAAATGCGGATGTTTATAATAGATATGTGATGGACGACAAAAATAAAGACTATGAGAAAAAAGAAGAGTAACGTATGCCAAAGTAAGCATAAGATAATAAAGATATATATAACAAAGTGTGGCTTAAATATATTAATGGCCATAGAAAGAACAGAATCGAGAAACAAGCTTTATGTAGCCAACCTCCAATAGTTCAGATAAGGGATGTGTTGAGTGAAGTTATACTTTTTGTGTGTAATTAAATTATTAATTTATTTAAATCACCCAATACTAAGAAGAGATGTGGTTATTTGTATCTAAAATACATGGCTTATGGCAATACATGAAAATATGAGATAAGAAATATATGCATTCATGATAATGTTAGGTTAATGCCAATCAAGGGAAGTATGAGAAAATCGTAGAGAAGATGGATTAGTTATCTGGTATGAAATTAGTGCACCAGCAAGAAGTAAAAAATTCAAGCACAATCAATCGCACAGGGACAGCTCAATTTATGTGGGACAACTGACAAGGCAGTCAAAAGAGATTCCCTATGAGCCTAGATATTAAATGAATGATAAAAAAAATTCCCACAGCTAACCGGACGTAGTTGGGATTAAATTCTGCAAACTTGATTGATTGATTTTTGTAAGCTGCAAATGGTTTCATTTGGTACAAGATAAAAGCTGTTTGAAATATATACAAGACACTGAAAATTAATACAAGAGAGAGAGAGTTGAAGACTGTAAAACAGGACTTGTAGTGAAGACCAACAAGGCAATGAAATAAGAATACAAAACATACCTCAAAAAGAAGTTCCACATTTTTTGACTTCAAGTATAAATATTCACATCTGTCACAAGAAGGGTTCCACAAGCTGTTGGTAAGATTGTAAGCAAAACCTAATGTAAGCTCCTTCCATGCTACCCTCTAGAACTAAAACCCATACACCAACAAAATCTTTATTTACAAAGTTTTGGTCTCCAAAAGGCACAGTCCATGGGTGATAATAGCTTTAAACAGCAACTAGTAAATCTTTACAAGAAGCAAACATGCTTTTAAACTCTAGGACTCCACGTGTCACATAAGTGAGATTTTAGCACAGCTTACTATTCAACAATCTACACGACGCTACCTGCAAAATAAAACACCCAAATGTTAGATTCACCATTTAAACAGAGCAAGACTTGGCCTTATTCTATTAGCCAATCACACCAAGAAATACAATGAGAATGAAGAAATAGTAACACCAACAAGAAAAATAGACAAGATGCAACAACAAATTCAAAAATGAAAACTATGGCGTTGCGCAACAAGTGAACTATGTCAAGGAGTCATCATTGATAATTGAGTTTTGATGGACCTATCATACTCAATCCGACTTTCAGCTTTACAACATGATCATCTAAAGTTTGGTTGTGGGGGAGAGAAAGAGAGAGGAGAAATCAAAAAGCCTGTTCTACATTACAATCACCTCGGAGATGCCACATGCACTACAATTGCCAGAGGTACAGAGACAAGTAACACCAGGACTGGAACTTGAGTTGCACAAGTGTTTGGAATCACACTGTGTGACAGTTTTGTGATCAACATGAGAACCAGACTCAGATAGCTCAGAAGATTTGGCACCCATCTGAGGCCTGCTGAGAAAATAATTCCCATCAAGTGATGTGGAATCAGTTTGAGCAGCAATTTGACGGTTCACCTCAACAGGACAAGTGAATACAGATGCTTTTATTTGAGGAATATCATTTGCACCATCAGATGTCAGATTTGCAGCCTCTGAACCTTGATTAACACAGCCCCTACCACAGACTCTAGATTTGTGCACAAGATCTGTACAGTGGTGTACAGATCCCTCATCAAGAGAACCTTGATTTTGATCAAAAGCACGAACTTCTCCAGTTAGCTCACAACCAACAGTTTCTTTACCTTTTCCCTCTATTGAATGAAGAGTTTTACTCTCACAATTTGCAACTGACCCAACATGGGAAACAGTAAATGATTTGCTTTCCAACCTACACATACTGTATTGATTTAAGTTGTTGCTACGTTCCACAGTCCCCTCACCGGGCGACGAAGGCATGACAATAGAATCAGAATGAGCATTTTGAAATTTATTGATCTCCTTGTTAGCATGCCCAGAACCAGAATTAGCATTTTGGCATTCATTAATCTCCTCACTAGTATGTTGTCCATCAAGTTCAAGAGCATCAATGACTAAAGCCTCAGTATCTATGATAGCTTCATTTTCCAACCCTTGATCATCATTTGTCACACCCAAATCGACATGATTTTCCTCATTAGTAGAAGAATCTCTAAAATTTGTTGCCTCACTTGTTATATCAGATTCAACATGCAAGGAGCCAGCAACATCATTTTTTTTACGTGCATGATGGACAATAACCTCACTGAAAATGTTAGATTCAGGCCCAGCAGAACATCTCGTACCAGAACTAATTGCCCAAGTATCTATGATAGCTTCATTCTCCAACTCTTGATCGTCATTGGTCACACCCAAATCGACAAGATTTTCCTCATTAGTAGCAGAATTGCAAAAATTGTTTGCCTCGTTTTTTATATCAGATGCAACTTGCAAAGAGCCATGTGGAAACTTCGAACTGAATTCAACAGAAGCAGCAACATCATTTTTTACACATGCCTGATGGATAATAACATCACAGGAAATATTAGATTCAGGCCCATCAGTACGTCTCATACCAGAACTAATTGCCTCAGTATCTATGATAGCTTCATTTTCCAACTCTTGATCATCATTGCTCACACCCAAATCGACAGGCCCAGCAGAACATCTCATATCAGAACTAATTGACTCAGTATCTATGATAGCTACATTTTCCAACTCTTGATCATCATTGCTCACACCCAAATCCACAGGCCCAGCAGAACATCTCATACCAGAACTAATGGCCTCAGTATCTATGATAGCTTCATTTTCCAACTCTTGATCATCATTGCTCACACCCAAACTGGCAAGATTTTCCTGATTAGTAACAGAATCTCTATAAGTGATCGCCTCACTTGTTATATCAGATGCAACTTGCACAGAGCCATGTGGAAGCTTCGAACCAGATTCAACAGCAGCAGCAGCATCATTTTTTCCACGTGCCTGACGGACAATAACCTCACAGGAAATATTAGATTCAGGCCCAGCAGAACATCTCATACCAGAACTAATTGCCTCATGCGTAGTTTGAAGCTTGGGACTAAGTTCAGTAGGCTCTGACACTACAAGAAAAGGAGGCATAAGGAGTCAGAAACATTAATATAAAGCTGACAAAAGGAATAAACATATAAGCATCTTCGAAATACCTGCCACAGAAATTGAGTTTCCTTCAGCAAACTGGTGTTTCAATAGAGGCTTTTGTAACATATCTGTACCAGGAAACACTATCAGATTCATATACTTCATTTGTTTTTTGTTTGATTCTTCAAGGGGCTTGAAACCAAACACCGAGGTCCATGTTTCTCGTAATTCAGATATAGCAGGTATGACCAGTTTCTCGACATTAAGGGAGCATAGTGCCTATCAATAGGTTCGGAAATAAGCACATCAATGTTAAAATCAGTAGATTCAAAGAATACAAAAATATTGATTTTAATCGAACAATATATGCACAAACACAAACATACCAAAAAACACAATATCACTCTAAACATGTGCCAAAAAATAAACAAATATAAAGTATACATGTACAAGAATGCGTATGGTTAATATGCAAAGTTCAATTCCATGACATGAACCGTGTGGGTCCAACATGATGAAAAGAAGAGATGAGGTAACATATTTAGTTACTTTGACTTGTACATATTCTATACTTTGGAAAAAGTATCACTTTAGCCATTCGACTAATATATTGATCTTGTGTATTGTTGGGGCAGCGGAAGCGCGCATATAACGAGATCCAAAGAAAGCTAACAAAGCAATCACACACAAACACAAGATATACATGGTTCACCAAACTCGGGACTACGTCCATGGATGAGAAGAGATTTCACTACGATTCGTAAGGATATTACAACAATAGAGTATCAACACCACGTACATGTCTTTGCACCACGTACCACTCCACAAGCCTATCTCCTCGCTACTAGTGCCATCGGTGTTTTCCCTACTCTACCAACCCACGTATTACCTCTACCCATCAACTCCCTCATAAAACTACATTGAACACAACGGTGAAAAAGAATAAATTCTGATATTCTCTTTTCATATATCATATGTTAGTTTACAAGCCTATATATATAGAAGTGTATTACAAACTCTATCTAATGAAAAGATATATACAAATCGTAATTTAAAAAAAGTCAACCATCTAACTATGGATAATTCCTAAAAATCCTCCCTAACTTATTTCCTAACAATTCAGCCTAGATCTTTCCACACTCCCCCTCAAGCTGGCTCGAAAAAATATCTTGCATCCCCAGCTTGCATGTAAGATTGTCAAATTTCCCCTTCAGTAATCCTTTAGTGAGGATATCTGCTACCTGTTCTCCTGTAGGAATATAGGGCATACATATCACTCCTTCTTCCAATTTCTCCTTAATAAAATGTCGATCAACTTCCACATGCTTAGTCCTATCATGTTGGACAGGATTGTGAACTATGTTGATTGCAGCTTTATTATCACACTAAAGCTTCATAGGCATCGGACTAGAGATTTTAAGATCTTCAAGTAATCTTTTCAGCCACAAAAGTTCACAAATTCCATGAACAACTGCTCTAAACTCAGCTTCTGCACTACTCCTTGCTACAACGGTTTGCTTCTTGCTCCTCCAAGTTACCAAGTTTCCAGCAACATAAGTACAGTAACCTGAAGTAGACCTTCTATCCGTCACACCACCTACCCAATCAGCATCGGTATAGGCTTCAATCCTTAGATGGCCATGATTTTCAAACAACAAACCTCTTCCAGGTGATCCCTTTAGGTATTTGAGAATCCGGTAGACTGCCTCAAAGTGTTCTTCTCCTGGTGAGTGCATAAATTGACTCACTACACTCACTGCAAAGGTAATATCTGGCCGAGTGTGTGAAAGATAAATGAGTCTTCCAACCAACCTTTGGAATTGCTCTCGATTCATCACTTTTTTTTGCACTTGCTGCCTGCAACTTTAAATTGGGCTCCATAGGTGTTTCCACCGGTTTGCAGCCAAGTAAACCTGTTTCCATAAGTAAATCCAACACATACTTCCTTTGAGAGACAAATATCCCTCTCTTGGATCTGGCAAATTCCATTCCTAGGAAGTATTTCAAAGCTCCAAGATCTTTTATCTCAAATTCCTTTGCAAGAAAAGACAGAAATACCTGTTTCATTCAAGTTGCCTTTATCCTGAGAGTTTTCATGGCAAGTGGTAGGTTGGTGCTCTTTATTTTGATCCTTCCTTCTTCGAGAGTAAACACGGAGCTCAGATTGAGGTTGGATTTGAAGTGATTCTCCCCCTGAAGTGTAGTCTATAATGTTTGACTCAATAGGCTTCGGAGAGGTTGAAATAGTGGGTTCAGTAGGTAAGGTAGAGCTTGGTGAAACACTTACTTCCCAAAAATGGTCTTCCCTCTCATTACGCTCCCCCTGAAGAGTATTTTTGGTGAAATAGGGGGGTTCAGTCTCAAAAAAGGTCACATCCATACTCACAGAATTTTTTAGAGGTGAGGTTATAACATTTATACCCTTTCTGTTTAGGAGAGTACCCAACAAACACGCACTTTTCAACCCTAGGATCAAGTTTTGAACAGTATGAACATTTAGTATTTACAAAAGCAGTGCATCCAAACACTTTAAGAGGTAATGAGGTGAAGATCCAAATATGGGGAAAAGCCGACAGCAAGCTGTTTAGGGGCGTCTCCAATATCAACACCCTAATTGGCATTCTGTTGATCAAGTATGAAGCTGTAAGAACAGCCTCACCCCATAGATATTTAGGAACCCCCATAGTGAACATTATTGCCCCAGCAATATGAAGTAAATGGCGGTTTTTTCTCTCAGCTATCCCGTTTTGCTGTGGGGTATCAAAGCAAGTGGACTGATGGAAAAACCCTTTTCTTTCAAAAAATCACCAAGAATAGAGTTAAGGAATTCTTTTCCGTTGTCGGTTCTAAATACTTGAATCCGGGTTTGAAACCGGTTTTCAATCATGGCATAGAACTCTTTAAACACTCTCGCAGCCTCAGATTTTTCTCTCAAAAGATATACCCAACACACTCTAGTATGGCCATCAATAAAAGTGATGAACCACCTAGTTCCAGTCACATTAGTAACCCGAGAAGGCCCCCACACATCACTATGAATCAAATAAAATGGTCTGGATGCTTGATATAAATGAGAAGGATAAGAAACACGATGATGCTTTGATAATTGACAAGATTCACATTGAAATAACAAAGGATTTAAATTTTTGAACAGGGATGGAAACAAATGTTTTAAGTAAGAGAAACTGGGATGGCCTAACTGTTAGCATTTATGATACCACGATTTATGGTATAACTTATCATAATAGCAGAGATTTGACTATGCATATAATAGCATATATATGATACCACGATTTATGGTATGACTTACCATAATAGCAGAGATTTGACTATGCTATAGAATATGCTTTAGAATAAGTTGTGATTTGATTTTGATTTGATTTAGTTTCCTTTCTTGTAATATAAGCATGTGCTCATTTTATCTATAAATACTAGAGCTGTGAATGAGTAATTTATCTCATTCAAGCCTTTACGCAATTCTCTCTTTTCTCTTCCTTTTATATATATCTACTTGGTATCAGAGCCAACACCTTTCCACACCTTTCAGCAGCCTTGCTACTTGTGCGACAGCTACCTTAGGCTGTTTCTGACATCGTGTGACGTTGCCTACACATGTTTTTCTGTGTTGCTGTTTTGTGATCGAAAACAGGTATTTTTAAGTTTTACAATTTCTTTTTCACTCTTCTAGGGTTGGGTAAATTGAGATAGTTGGTTTCCAACACCTAAAAGAGCTTGGGTAAAAAAAAAATTTAGTTTACAAAGAGGTTCCAAATATTAAGAAGGAGGCTGTCTGGCTATATGTAAGCGAGCAGCGCTCCTTAAAAAAGGTATGTATTTGGATTTTTCGGGATTGGTCTGAGGAGACATTGTTTATGGTCTGAGGAGACCCTTTGATTTATTAACAGAATTTGTGGTGTTTTTGGAGTTCTTTTTTTTATTATTGTCGTGTGACAGATTATGGCATATTCAGGGTCCTCGACTGTTAATTCTCTTGGCTCACGTTCTGTGGGTGGTGGTGCCATTTTTCCCACCAACTCATCAGAATATCCAGGACTTCAAATCACCACAGTAAAGTTGGATGGTTCCAACTATTTGATTTGGGCACAGTCTGCCAAGATGTTCATTGGTGGCAAAGGCAAGATTGGCTATATTACTGGTTCTGAGAAAGAGCCAGCTGAGTCAGAGAAGGCATATCCAGAGTGGTTTGCAGATAACGCTATGGTTATGTCTTGGCTAGTCAATTCGATGCAACCAAACATAGCTGTTGGCTATATGTTTATGAAGACTGCTAAGCAGATTTGGGATTCAGTTCAACGCACTTATTCTCAGAGGCAGAATAATGCACGAATTTTCCAGCTGGGGCGAGATATCACCAGGATTTCTCAAGGTGACTTGACAGTTTCAGGTTACATCGCCAAGCTTCGTGCTATTTGGGAGGAGATGTTATATTATGATTCCTTCCACTCTTGGAAGGATCCAGATGATGCAGTTTTATATGCAGGAATTGTGGAGAAAAATCGAGTGTTTCAGTTTCTTGCCGAATTGAACGACGAGTTTGAGTATGCTCGTGTTCATTTATTGGGCTTATCTTCATTCCCTACTCTTGAGGATGCATATTCCTATGTGTTGTCAGGTGAGAGCCGCCGGACTCATCCATTAGGTGCTGCTTCTGTTGATCGTTCTGCTATGGCAGTTCGGATTCCCAACCTTTCAAGAACTTCACCATCCCAGTCAGTTCAGAGCACTACCACCGATCCTCCTCTGGGACGACAACGTGGACGGTGTGACCATTGCGGAAAAATAGGTCACATCAAATCTCGTTGTTATGCTCTACATGGACGTCCACCGCAACAGAAACAACAGCTTCAATCCTCTACACATTTTGTTACACAACCAGTCTCGTTGTCAACTCCTGACAACCCTGCCTCTACATCTTCTGCCACAGTTACCTTGACTCAAGCTGATTTGGACAAGTTTAAGCAATTCTTCAACCAAATGGAGGCATCATCTCAGCCAACCTCCACTTATGCCCACTCAGGTACTATTACGTCTACACATAGCGTATCTACATCTTTAACACCATGGATCATTGATTCTGGTGCTTCAGACAATATGACTGGTATATCCTCACTCTTCCAATCTTATAGTATCTGCTCTGGCCAACGCAAGGTCCGCCTTGCGAATGGCTCTCCATCTTCCATTGCTGGGAAGGGTCACATATCAGTTACTCCTTCATTAACTTTGTCAAATACACTTCATGTTCCAAAGTTGACTACAAATCTTATTTCTGTTAGTAGCGTTACCAAACAATTAAATTGTAGTGTAACGTTCTTTCCCTCTCATTGTATTTTTCAGGATCTGGTGTCGAAACGGACGATTGGCAGTGGGCGTGAAGTGGACAGTTTATACCTGTTGGATGTTCCTTTGTCACCTCAAGCAAATTCAGCTTCATTTTCTAATATTGTTTCATCTAATAAAGCCCAGCTTATGCGTTGGCACATGCGTTTAGGACATATTTCTTTTGGTTATTTGAAACATTTATTTCCTTCCTTATTTTGTAACGTGGCAGTGTCAGATTTATCCTGTGAAACATATCATATGGCTAAACATGTTCGTTCCAATTATCCTGCTAGTAGTAATAAATCTACTTTAACACCTTTTGATCTTGTTCATTCAGATGTGTGGGGTCCTTGCCCAGTTGCTTCTAATCGTGAATATAACTTATGTAATAGTTACCTGTTTAAACCCAATTACTATGGATAGTTAAGTCATTTCAACATGAACCTTATCTATGCCTTATGATTTTTCCTTTTATTTTGAATATTTTGGTTAATTATGACAATTTTTTCTATTATTTAGTATTTGATTAAATATTTAATGTCTCGTTTTAATAAACAGGTCATTAAACGGGTTAACACGATTACCTGTTTAATAAATGGGTTGGGTTAGTGTTGAGATTCTTGACACGATTATTAAATGGGTTGGGTTTGGGTTTACCTATTTAGTATAATATCCTTACATCGACACGACATGAACACGACCCATGAACACGAATTGCCCCCCCCCCCTACCTTTAACCATGAGTATATCTATAATTGAACAGTTCTATCACCGAGGTTGTTTGGAACCCCGACAATATGAACCCTCTAGAAAAGCCCCATGTGATCATGTCAAGCAAAACTGTGAATCAAAAGACCAGAGCAAATAGAAAATGAAAATAAGAGAGATAGAGAGATGGATAGATAGAGAGAGAGAGACGAACAGACATACAGACAAAAATAAAGCAGCCTTTACACTGAAATTTCACCCTGAAAACTTCCAATCCTCTTGCATTAAGGCCAAATTACAACAATATCGTAGAACATCACTAATAAACTTCCCAGGAAAATTCAGGAAAAAAAAATAGCTAAAAAAAAACTGCAGATCACTGTATTCACCAATTGCACTTTCTCGAAATCCAATGACACGACAATCAAACGAACTTATTTCGCATTAGGAAACAAGTTAGCTCCAAACAGGATTTAATCAACTCACATCCAAGCTGTTAATGAATTACATACACCATGATCTTTTCCACTAAACATCTCCAGGAAGATTACCATTCAATAATTGGATGGATAAACACCACATTTGGTGCATTAACTGACGATCCTCTATCGAAGTCAAAATTTCGCAACAATAACAAGATTTTAATTTGATGTCATTAAATTTTCTATCTGCAATTCCTTAGGATCCCAGAACACCATCTGACACTAACGCCATAAAACCAGATAGAATATTATTAGTATTATCACTTTAAGATATTAGCAATGGATTATTGTAGTTGATTGGATGATGGAGGTAATACATGTAAGATAATGCAAATTTCAGATTGAGCAGGCCAAATGGCAAAAGCAAACAATATCAGAAAGATGCAATACCTCTCTCCCTGTGTGTGTGTGTGTGTGTGTGTGTGTATTACATGCAAAAGGATAATAAGACTTGTGAGCAGATTTTCTGGTCAAGTCTGTCAAACAGGACACCCAAATAGCGAGTAATTCTCTAACTACGAGAGGACAAAAAATATAAAGATCAACTATGATTTTCAATACCTTAGTCATTAATAAGGTATAAGAGCGAAGCTAAGGTTTTTTTTAGATACATTGGTGATTAGCCCCTTGAGCTATAAGCTTTTCCTGTTTACGAGAACTCCCAATTCCATTAAGCTTTTGATAATTATATGTTTTGTTCTTACACTGATTTTACTTTTCCATCAAACATCAACATAGAAATCTACAATGAGATCTCTCTTTTATTGTTTTCTTTCCCATTGTAGCTATTGAACTTAGGTGTAAACTTTATCAAAATGTTGCAAACTCCAACCAGACAAAAATTAATAACTTCTAAGAATACGGTATACAAAGTCATTAAATACTGAAACAAATTGCAGCAAAAGCTTTCTTACGCATTAATTACAAGCCAACATAGAAAAACACACATTAATAACCCAAAATGAGGGGCAATTAACCAGACAGACAGACAAACAGAGAGAGAGAGAGAGAGATGTTCCTAATTAGACAATTTTAATCTATTACTAAAAATCCTATGAACTTCTCTAGCGAAAAGCAATTTAGCACGGCCCACTCAATCATCCTTAACATCAACATTTGAGCCATATTTCTTGGCCGTTAATATTTCATGACATAACTAACATGTGGCAGGTCTAACAAATGTCATATAGAAGATTCATTAATTTGCATTGCCAAAGACAGATATAAAAAGATAACAACCACTATGGAGAATGATTCATAACATACCGATTCAATGGCAGTTAAAAGCCGACGGGCCATCCCTTGGCGCCTATAAATATGGCGAGTCCCAATGAAAGGCATCTCTGCTAACTGACTCCCATGTATTCTATTCAACAGGATAGAAAACATTGTAAGCAAGAATATTAAAAATCTTAAAATGCATACATGCACATAACACAATCATATTGGGGTCATTTGCCTCTTAGCATAAATATACCATCAACAAACATGTCTGCTAAGGGAAGGAAGACCATATCAATTGTAGTTTAGTGACAATATTAAAATTATTCAAGGCAAAAGTTTAAGGTGCATTGGGATGAATCTGAAATTGTTCTCTTCTTTTGACAATGGAAAAAGAAAACGAATATAACCTAGTCCATAATTAAAATTTCAGAAATCTAAGAACAAATGACCAAGGGTAATTTGTGTTATATGATGATGTAAATTTGGAATTTAAGAAATCATATTACACGAAGTCATCTTTCAAGTGAAAGTATAAACACTGATATCACCCCAACCAAATAAAGTAATGGCTTTAAATTATGAGGTTGATATTCGCAAAAAGAGCTGTAAGAATTTAGGAGTTATTGCTTAGTGCAATGATGAAGGCTCATGCTGAAATGCGTGGGGTGTCAGTTTGAGTATGAGAGTAGTGATTTTGTGCAAAATAATGTCAATTATTAGGCAGGTATCAAGGCTTTCCCTCCACGCATAATTATTAAAGACTCGGGCGCACCAAGGATCCAAATTCACCTCGAGTCTAACTAATTTAACTAATTTCTAGAACTCAACAAACTAGAAAGTCCTCACTTGCAATAATTCAAAATTAAAGAATGAAATTAATCTTTGTATTGGGAACTTGAACCTTTTTTTTTTTTTTTCAACAACCAGGCAATGTATTAATATACTAAAAGATACATCACAGCGAGGACATTCCCTCACAAACAAAAAAATTCAACTATTTTCAGATAGGTTCACCAAATCAAAAGCAAATTGATAACTAGATTAAACCAAATAAATTAGGAAATTGTGTTCTTTACAATGAAAGAGAAGTAGACAAGGATCCCTTATTTAGGGTTTTTCGTACCTTCTTGGAGATTGTGATATTTCATTAAAGAAAAAATGTTGAAAGATAGTCATGTAGCATATGAAAAGAAAGGATCAAAGATAGAGATATGGAGTGTCCAGTGATCAGAGAAAACTGAAAAGAGAAATTAAATTGGATACTAAAGATTAGAAGTGTGGGGAAGCTTTAGAGTTTTAAAATTCTATATATACAAAATAAAAACATCATCATTGCTGGCATCACAAAAAATTTTTTAGTTTAGTAGAAAACCTAACAAAACAACATACTCCCTCCATCCCAATCAATGATCCATTTTCGATATTCCGAATTTTCAAGGGGACATGCATTTAATACATTGTCCCTTTTAAAATTCCAAAAATACCCTTTAAAGTATAAATATTGATTATCAAGTTGCGAATTTTTTTAAAACTTAAAGGGTATTTATGGAAAAATTCATTTGGACTCACTTGAACAAATTTTTTTTTTTTTTTTTGAATAAGTAATATTGTATTAGAAAGCTTTCAAGCGGGGAATGCATCCCATAAAAACTACACAAGGCCAAAAAAGGGCCTATAAACTCTCAAAGAGTCCAAACAATCAATTATCTCCCCTAAGGATTTACGATTTCTCAAAAATAAAACCAACAAAAAATAGAACAAATAATAGAGAACTTTAGCGCCCCAATACGAGTCTCCTCGCCCAAAGGATCTCTTATTCCTTTCTGTCCATAAACTCCACCAGACACACAAAGGCTTTACCCTCCAAAAGTCACAAGCTAGAGAATCCATTGTACAACCCCTCCAAGCCTTAATCAAACCCCCGGAGGACCTAGGCATAACCCACTGGACCCAAACAAACCCATCAATAAGCTCCAACTATCTTGTTTCACAGAGCAGTGCAGTAGAAGATGATCAATCATCTCCTCATATCTCTTCACTTACAACACCAATTAACAACAATCTGTCTCCTCCTTCTCAGGTGGACCAAAGTTAGAATCTTCCCCAAAACAACCATCCATGCGAAAAAAGCCACCTTGAGAGTGGCCTTCGAACGCCAAACAACCTTCCACAGGATAGGCCCTGGAGCATCCATGAGGCACGGGCACCTGAATAGAGAGCGCACAGCAAAGAACCCCTCCGTAGAAGAAACCCACACACAAGAATCAATACCATGTCCCACAACGTCGTGACAATACAACTCCAAGAATGCAAAAATGTCCTCCAACTCCCAATCCTAAAAATGCCTTAAATTTTGAACATCCCAGGTTGGACAGATAACAGTTAGCCACCAAGGCATCTCTATCCATGGAACTCTTGAAAAGTATGGGATATGTGGAAGCCAAAGACTGATGATCCCTAAACCAAATATCCTCCCAAAACCAGATCTCCAACTGGCTAGAGAAGTCCCTACCCACCCTAAAGCCTCTAATAAAACCCAGATCCACTGCATTCCTCAACTTCCTAATAAGAGCCTCTCCACCATAATGAGAAACAAAAGGGAGATAGCGAATCCCCTTGCCTCAAGCCCCACAAACTGCTAAAAAAATCAGTAGGAGCCCCATTCACCAAGACTGAGAATTTAATAATAGAAAAGCAAAACTCAATCCACCTCCTTTACCTTTCCCTAAAACCCATTCTCTCTAACTCCAACTCATGTGATTGTAAGCCTTCTCAATGTCAAGCTTGCACAAAACCCCAAGAACCCCACTGCTCAATGTGGAATCAACGCACTCGCTTGCGATAAGGACTGAATCCAAAATGTGCCGACCTTGAACAAAGGCATTTTGAGAATCCAAAATAATCCCATCTATGACCTCCCTTAATCTCAAAGCTAGGGCCTTAGCTATTAGCTTGTAGATGCATCCCACCAAACTAATAGGTATAAAATCCCTAACTCCCCCACCCCCCTTTCTTGGGATAAGAGCAATGAAAGTGGCATTCAAGCTTTACTCAAACCGACCCTGAGAATGAAAATTATGGAAAGTGCCCATCACCTTCCCCTTACTGTAACGACCCACTCCAACACATGGTATGATATTGTCCTTTTTAGGCCCGAGCCTGCACAATTATGTTCTTGAGTATTATCCCAAAAGGCCTCATACCAATTGGAGTGGACAAATCCTACGTACGTAGCACTTCCCCTTTCCACACCCCAGCAATGTGCGATTATGCACCTGTAGCTCGCCCAGTGTGGTAGCCTGTCAGTGCCTCTTGTACCCCGCCCACATAGGTCACCATAATCCACCCTCTTAGGAGGCCCAACATCCCACTCAACACACTTTTAGCTGGGTTAGGCTCTGATACCATTTGTAATGACCCACTCCACCACATGGTATAATATTATCCGCTTTAGGCCGAGCCCGCACAATTTTGTTCTTGAATTTTACCCCAAAAGGCCTCATACCAATTGGAGTGTACAAATCATACATATTTAGCACTTCCCCTTTCCAAACCCAAACGATGTGTGATTATGCACCTGTAACTCGCCTAGTGTAGCAGCCTGCCAATGCCTCTTACACCCACCCACGGCACAGCCGCCCACATAGGTCACCACAATTAACCACCTCCTAACTCTCAAAAAGGAATTGCATAGAAAAACCATCCAAAAAAGGAAAAATGGGCTATTAAACTTGGATGAAGGGAATAATATAAAGTTAGTAAACCCTATAGAAAATGTGAGGGACTAATAGAATATATTATTTTGACGCGTTCAACCAAGCAAATAAAGAGTTTCATTAAAGCATACAACTTTGTAAGTAATTACCAAGAGTTGCCAACAAACTCGACTCCAAGTGAGAAAGGCGTCTCAAATAAGGAAATTAAGTCGTATAGAACTTCTAGGGAGTACCACTAAACTCCACTAAAAAAATTAAAACAATTAAAACAATAAAACTTATTCAAAAGCGTTTCCAAAACAAGCCAAAAGTGATAAAATGTCATTTAGAAACTTTACGAAAGCCAATACGAAGCATAAAAAAAATTCGCGCAAAATATGTTGAAAGCCTTTGGAGGGATGTCTAGAAACCACATAAAGAATGTTTGACAAAGCTTAGGATTCGTTGTGAAATCTCTAGGTAAATGCTTCAAAAGCTAATAGAAAAACTTATTTGATATTATCTCTAGTTTAGTAGGAAATTTATAATATCTAAAATATGGAATTTTTCATTTACAAGCAATGAATCAAGTCTTTATTAATAAATTTCCCGAAGCAGCTTTATGTTAAAAATTTCCTGAAGTTTCCGGTTAGGAACCTAGGGCCTGTTTGGCTGGTTTCCTGTAGCCTCAAAATGGGCTTCTAAGCCGATAAAGTCCTTCGCCAATAATAAAGAGCGTTTGGAGAAATCTCTGAAAATGGACTTTTAGAAAGTCTTTGTGGTTTAGAAGCCCGATTGACCAAAGCCAATAAAACATGCTTCCTGCTTGATTTCCAACAAGATGCACACTTTTTAAGGTAATAATTATAAAATTCCTATATTGTCCATTATTTAACCTATTTCTATTTCTGAATTCCATTGCAAACTTTTCTCTCTGTGTACCATCTTCTCTGTTCGTTCTCTACCCAAAAATAAATAAATAAATAAAAAAGAATGTTGAGTAACATTTCACGGATCTTTATTTAAAAAATATTTATTGTTGAAAAACGATTCAACGAAAGAAGAACAAACACATTGACTACGATTGACTCCCATTTGACTTCAAAGACTAAAGGGCAGAAGAGTTATAAGATTTATGAACTCTCATCCAAAATTCAACCCTATGTAGAATTCTAAATAGCTTTTCTTTCTCTCAATAAATATAATTATATATATACACACACACAATATATATATATATATATATATATATATATATATATACATATATAATATATTTTTTGAAGGCTACCCGTTCCATTTAGGTATCAAGTTGGTTGTTAAAGTGATTTATAGCTATAAATAAAAATAAAAATAGGATATTTTTGCTGCCATATCTCTCTTTCGTTTTATTTTTCTTTACTTTTCTTTTCCCATCTCTTTGAACTTTTATCATGTAGTCTCAAAG